AGGGGGGAGGGGGGGAGGGTCACAAGAGTGTGACCACAAGAGTGTAGCATATCTACACAATAACGGAAAGAGCAAGATAGACTCCCTCCCATACTCAGCCCATATCTGACCCATCATGACTCACCGTTCCCTCCCATATATCTGACCCATGACTCAACGTTCCCTCCCATATATTTGACCCATCATGACTCACCGTTCCTTCCCATACTCAGCCCATATCGGACTCGCCCGGGCCCCGGCACGGCCCGCGGACAGTTCTGCTCATCTGAGCCGTCGTGGCAGTGAACGTCTCCGTCGCAGCGCTCCTTGCTGGGCACACACATCTTGCCGCTGGCGCACGTGTAGTTCTGAGTGTCCACACACTGCCTCATGTCAAAGTGACGCGGGAGAGCTGGGGACACACGTGGAGGAGAGAACAGGTTAGTTGTGGTCAGTGTTTCACGGCACTTGCAACACAATCAGGTCATAGAAGTGCTGGAGATAGGAGGTGTTACAGGAGAGTAACAAACACAATCAGGTCATAGATGTGTTACAAGAGAGTAACAAACACAATAAGGTCATAGAAGTGCTGGAGACTAGAGGAGGTTACAAGAGAGTAACAAACAGAGAAATGAAGGAGAGAAATACCCAGAGAAAAAACAGACAAAAAACAGACAAAAAGGAATAGGAAAGGACAGAACGTAGAATACAGCCACTCAGGACGTCCACTCAGGACGTGAACAGCCATAATGGTTTGTAGAGAAAAGAGAAAACGGCGCACAATTTCCCACTGACCTTCAGAGACACGTAAACTCTAGCTGTACAACCGATCATTTGTACAGGGAACAAAGAACACTCCCCCTCATCCAGATGAACATGGCCATCGTTAGCCAGAAACAAGTCGGTCCAACCAGGCCAGCAGTTGGCCTCACTATTGCCTGGCCCACTACATGACACACACAACACCTACAAGTAACCACCCCCCCAAAAAAAATGCAGTTAAAAGCAGCCAAATTTCCACAAAACTCTCCTTTGTTTGACATCATATTTCTAGCTTGATGGCTTTTGCAGCCCTGTCAACACGATGTCGATCATTTAAGGGGTGGAACTTGTGTGTGTGTGTGTGCGTGTGCGTGCGTGCGTGCGTGCGTGCGTGCGTGCGTGCGTGTGTGTGTGTGTGTGTCAGAGACAAATAGACTCACGCGGACAAGGCTCCCTGTTACACTTCTCCTCACTCCTCGGTTCCCCGTCACACTCCTTGCCGTTGTAAGTGACGCCCACACACTCGCGCTCACGGTGACGCGTGCCTCCCCCACACATGCGCGTGCAGTCGCTCCAGTACCACCACTCGGACCAGTGCCCGTCCGCTGTGACAGGAAGACAGGACAGAGATATACCATGATGTGATCACACAAAGACAGGACAGAGATATACCATGTGATCACACAAAGACAGGACAGAGATATACCATGTGATCACACAAAGACAGGACAGAGATATACCATGATGTGGTCACACAAAGACAGGACAGAGATATACCATGATGTGATCACACAAAGATAGGACAGAGATATACCATGATGTGATCACACAAAGATAGGACAGAGATATACCATGATGTGATCACACAAAGATAGGACAGAGATATACCATGATGTGATCACACAAAGACAGGACAGAGATTATATACCATGTGATCACACAAAGACAGGACAGAGATATACCATGATGTGATCACACAAAGATAGGACAGAGATATACCATGATGTGATCACACAAAGACAGGACAGAGATTATATACCATGTGATCACACAAAGACAGGACAGAGATATACCATGATGTGATCACACAAAGATAGGACAGAGATATACCATGTGATCACACAAAGATAGGACAGAGATACCTCATACAGCAATACAGGGATACCTCATACAGCAATACAGGGATACCTCATACAGCAATACAGGGATACCTCATACAGCAATACACTAAAATACAGGGATACATCATGAAATGACACTGTCACACAATAACAAAACAGGAATACATTATTATTATTATTGCTATTATTATTATTATTGCTATTATTATTATTATTATCCAAATCATTATTATTAATATTATTATTATTATCATTAATAATAATAATAATAATGGACTGCATTTATATAGCGCATATCCACTTATGCAATGCTTTATGCGCTTAACATGATACATATTATGGATTTAAAAATCAATTTTAAAGGCACATAGTGTTACATATGTGTGCCCACACATACTCACGCATGCACGTACCACACACACATACACACATACGTACATACGCACATATGCACATACAAACTCACAACAATCTACAGCTTGGATGGATTCTGTATAATCGAAATATGATGAAAATAGAAATGCTTTTAGTTTCTTCTTAAAAATTTCTAGATTTTCTGCTCCTCTGATAGTTTTTGGAAGCCTATTCCAAACAAGTGGGGCAAAATATGAAAAAGAGCGTTGGCCATATGATTTGTAATTTATTTTAGGCTTAACAAGGGTTGTTTTGTCACTTGATGATCTGAGCGTTCATTATTTAAATAATAATACCAATAATAATACCAATAATAATGTATAATAATAATAATCATTATTATTATTTTCTTCTTCATTTTCTTTTTACCATTATTATCATCATTACAACTATTATTACTATTATTATCATCAGTATTATACTTTTTACTATCATCATTATTATTTTTAAAACTATTATTACTACTATTATTATCATCATTATCATTGTTATTATCATTATTACTATTATTATCATTACAGCTATAATAATAATAATAATTATTATTATTATAATTATT